CAAATCGATCGCCTTTTTGTGTGCAGACCATGAAATGTACTGAGATCCACGGGTATCTATTGTCCCGAGCGCATTAATCTTGATTAATTCTAATTGAAAGTTAACTCGGCAACATGCGCCATCCAATTGTTTAAGTTTTTTTTAACTGATTACACCTCCTATACCCGATTTCGAGGATTCAACGATACCCTAATATCGAGTATTATACGCAATTTAACGGATAATACCCGATTTCGAGTATTCTCTGCGACCTGTTTAACGACTTAATCATGGTTTATTTAGCTTCATTGCAGCAAGTTTGCAGGATTGTCTGAAACAAGTTTGCCGTAATTTCTGCTACAGACTTGCAGCAGATGTATGCGGAGAGGCAATATTATTGGTACGGCATTCAATTTCTGAAATAATAAATTATACATATACTTGTAAATTAAAAATATATTACATCAAAATGATTTTATTTTGTCAATGAACTCGTTTCAAATTGATTTGTAATTCTAAAAAAAGTTTAAAAAACATTGAAACCTAGATTGAAATAAAGGTGTTACCGGCTTGCCATTATCTGCCGGTGTAAAGACGAATAATGACCCTCATCGAATAATGACCGGGGGTCATTTTTCGACAGCGAAAAATGACCCCCGGTCATTATTCGACATAGAAAAATGACCATTTTGCCCGTAGAAAAAGTGTCACCACCCTAGAAATTTGCAGAACCCACGTGAAGAAAAATGACCCCCGTAGAAAAATGACTCCTTGTTGATTAAAGCTGAAATTTTTAGGGGGCCAAAAAAAATTAGATAAAGAAGCATATTGGCCAAAATGCTCATCTGAGCTTATTTGGAATAAATTGATGATATGTTGATCGCATAACATACGATTATAGCTATATTTTAAGGTCAATGCAATGTTTCAGAATCCAAAGAAGTAAAGATTTATCGAGCATAAAGGGTTAGGTAAACATTGTTTATCGATGGTGGAGATCATCATACTGACGGAAAAAATCAGCAGTATCATATATTATTATATCCTCCGCTTGAAAAGCGGGAGGGTATATAGTGATGTCCGTCCGTCCGTCTGTTACGCTTTGGGGTATCCATCTGTTATCCGCAACTCCTCTTATATATAAAAAGATGTGTTTGTGAAACAGCTATGCCCCTGTATGGCAACATAGCGAAGACTAAACTTTTCTTAAATGCAATTTAAATATAATGGTACCCACAGTAGGGTCTTCTCACAAGAAATACAATTGCAAAATAGAAAAGCCCTAGCACCACTTGTTCAAAATTAATGGCTAAGGATAAGTGTATGAAAGGTAGGTCAAACTTAAAGGTCAAAGGGTCAAAGTTGATGGTTTCTTAAGAAAGGTTTAATGTAACAAGGATTACATTTGTGAAGTATGAGGGTACTAGTATCTACCGTTTAAAAGTTATAGCCAAAGTAAATTAAAAATTTGGAATCTTTTTGAGAAATGGGAGAAACACCAACGTAAAGGTCAAAGAAAGGTCTTGTCACAAGGAATACACATATGAAATATGAAAGTCGTAGCTCTACTAAATCAAAAGTTATGGGCAAGGTTAAAGTTTTTGCGGACAAACAGGCAAACAGAAAGACAGAGAGACAGACAGACAGACAGACGGACACGACAAAAACTATATACCCCCGAAATTTCGTTTACGGGGGCATAAAAACTACCCTACCTTTATTTTTCTATAAGGAAAGACTAAAAATAAGCTTGAAATAATTTACTATTCTACTAATTTTCAACTATTACCTTGCCACAATACTTTCAAGAATACCCCCACCAACATTTCAAGTATGCTTTAATCATGGCGAAATAAATTATGATAAGGCTTAACTTCATTTTTATATTTTATCTAGAGCCTATTTCAGCATTATTGAAAGGTATAGACTTTTATCTTTATTTTTGCTTTTCATTTTTTTTTTTTTTTTTTTTTTTTTTTTGATTTAACGTAATTTTTTTTTTTTTGGGGGGGGGGGGGTAAATATATTTCCTCCTCTTTCATTGTCAAATAGGATTTGCCAAACTTATACAAGCTAAAGCTGAAATGAAGGAAAAATTTATTTTTCTATTAAAGAGTATTGGAACCTGATTGTTGCATGGTTTGATTTCTAAAAACAAGTGGAATATCATTATTTAAGCAAAAACTATAAGGAGGTATATTAAAAAGAAATTTTATTTGCTTGACAATTAAAGAATCTCTTTTCACTTTAAAGGGGGTCATTTTTCAATGGAGGTCAATTTTTATAGGACTAACATATAAAATAATGACCCCTGGGACACTTTTTCTACAAAAAATGATTTTTTTTCTACGGGTAGGGGGTCATTTTTTGTCGTTGAAAAATGACCCCCGGTCATTATTCGATGGGGGTCATTATTCGTCTTTACACCGGCAGTGTTTGCCATGTTTACAATTATCCGCTGTTCGAAGCAGCCAAAATATCTTGACCCATCAAAATAAAAAGCTTGCAACACACCAATTACACAACATGCCTATCTTAATTTTGCAGGTAAGATATAGAAACTTTGACGCTGTGTACAGAGATAAAAGAAAACAACGACACGAATGCTATATATAATTGTAGATAGATGTCTGCAAAATACAATTGTAATAAGCAGTTTGCCAGTGCAGTGTAAATTAGTGCGTTTCTGGGGAGGGCTAATGAGATTAATAGACGAATTTCACATTAACAAAAAGTTATAATTCCTCTTTGTAAGGTATATCCGGGGTAAGCCGGCATAAGACACAGTGACTCTTTCCTCTGCTGGTCTTTGAAATTAAATCAGTATTAAATAAAATTATGGAGATAACAAACAATATTCAAGCCCAAAGTCCATAAAACAATACAAATTAGGAGCAGATCAAAAACATGTTTATTATGTTTTATGTTGTTCCACTCTGTCAGTACATGTATATATGCTGAATGATTTTGCCAGATAACGTTTGACGATTAAAAATATTTACATGTAACTTACAAAGGACAAAGTGGGGAAAAAGCGCGATACGTCGTCAGCGGGAGATATCTCTTAGGAATATGAAAATCATCCTTTTTAAGTTAGATACCTCGTGTTATTATTATTATTATATTGATTTTAAAAGAGTGCCTGTGCTTTTCACTCCAGCCAATTGTTAATTGTCCCGTAAAGGAAAAGTCCATTGATGCACTTAATCATCAAACCATATACATACTGAACAAAAAAAGAAACGCATTTTCATATTAAACATGAAAATCTAAGTTTTTAGTTTAAACCTTATTTTTTTTTAATTACTTTAGAGTGTGTATATATATATATATATATATATATATATATATATATATATATATATATATATATATATATATATATATATATATATATATAGTGGCGAATCGAAAAGTTAAGCTGATGTCATTTTATTGCCCCAAAAACCAAGGGGCATTATAACCAATCCTTATGTCTTTTGCAATGTCTCAGTGGATTTCCAATTTACAGATGTCGTGGACAAATACCAGCTCTTCTCGATCTTTTGCGAACAATTTGTGCACTTTTATGCTGATTTCCCCGTCCAGCAATTGAAACAGCAGCTTGTGCACCAAATAATTGGAAATCTAAATCGATTGCTGAAGGTGGATCTGACGATCCTGTCTGGGTCTGGTAATCCGTTAACGGCCAGTTCTTGGTCTAGCTGTCATCCGTGTTCCTAGCTTGTGGAGACGTTTGTTCTACCACTAGAAAGCCGATTGATGTACATTAAATGCTGTTGCAACGTCCTGTTGCGTAGCTCCGGTCATCATCATCGTTAGCTGGATTGTATTATCTTTGTTAAGGCAGTATCAACATTGTAATCAAATCTTAAAAATGGGTTTAATAGGAGTGTTTATTGTTTCTTTAAATCCATAATATCAATAAAAATAGACATAGGGACAACAAAATGAAAAAAAAAGGATTCGAACAATTAAAAAAAAAGTAAAATTATAGGAATAAAGGTGGTAATTTTTTATATATCTGTACAGTACATCATAGGAATTACCTAAATGGTACAATCTAAAGAAACATTTTAAGTAGATGCGTTCCCTATTATATGAGACTATCTGTCATGACAGCCCTCCTGCTCTGTTCAGTCAGACACAACAAGATTTTTTTTCTTCTATTTACATTTTTTTTATTTTTAGAAAACAATATTTACAACATATTTATATTAAAATTATCTACAATAAATATCACTCTAAGTCTCTAGATTGTCTATATCCATCCCAGTGCACCACGCGACCGCGTCCTGACACTTCCCATTTTACGACAGACTCCCGTCAACTGGCACCCAGTGGGTTTCAAGTTCAGGAGACGCTGGTGCTACGTGTCAATACAAAATGGCATGAATGTAGCGTGAATACGACTGAAATATGTCTGGAATATCTCTGGAACCCCTAATAGAGAAATGGTTACAATTGAAAACCTACTTATCTACACATCTTGGATTGTAGTACCTCAAGCATGTAAAATCTATGAAAACGTGGACCCCGGCTACATGTACGTGGTCAGCTATGCAGCGATTTGAATACCTCCTAATACATTAGGTCGTAACTGACCAATGTTTGCAAACCTAACTTGAGATTCAATAAAGGTAACAATAAAAAGATGTCCAGCAAAGGGCAAATAAATTAAAAGAAAAATAATCATAATGTAAATACAATTACAATTCAATATTGATTGTGACACTATCGCAAAATAAGAAAGAGATATTTTATAGAGAATATATTCGACAAAAATTACTTGAAACTTGATTATCACAATAAGATGACATATTATGATAGTTGACTCATTTGTGAAATAAATTATTTTTTTGAAAATTTTTATCCTTGAACAGATAACCTAAATATTCAAATTTCAGCTCTTGGGATGTTTAACCGTTATCAGTATAATGTCGTTTAAGCAACTGTTCACAGATGATAAATATTTTTTTCCACGAAAAGTCCACTATCTATCCTATTATCATTGCATAACTATGAAACCCGAATGGTTACTTCAATTTTATGGAGCTCTTACAATTTTTTCTAGTTTTACCCACTATGCTGACTGTAGTCACTTTCGTGGTGGCATTTTCATGTGGAAGCCGACGAATACTGGAACTGGATCTCAGGTAATTTTGGGTATATTTACGTATAAGTATTGCAATGCTCCAATCGAACATTTGAACATTCATTTAAAAAAGTATTAAACTTGTAATAGACAGTCGATAATTAAAAAAAAGGATTTTATCTTAAGATATTTTATATTAGAGGTGTTATAGCATTTGTATAAGAACCGGGATTAATGTAATGTTGGTGGGTTTTTTTTTTTGGTTGATCCTTACCAAATATAGAATCTTGCTGACTTTCGTGTGGCGTCGACAAAATGATATAACTTTAAAAATGAATTCTTATACGAATTTATATGAAAAAAACATGTTTCTAATGTCATACTTCGCCATTATAAAAAATGATATTTGATCACCGAGTGATATGTTGAACCCGTCAATAAGATGTAGGAACGGTTACGTCACACGATGGGCGGAGGAAAATTTCAACTGCATTCATTGGTGTTCGACAGTCACGGAATTGGTCGAATTTAATCTCAAGATGCATCACAGAAGACATTTCAAGACAAATGACAAAACGAATTATAAAAAAAAATACGCATAACGAAACACATATTGATTGTGTTCTCGGGCAAAATACATTGTGTCAACCCTTGAACCAAACTTTTTGCCTCCTTGGTTCTTGGGTCCGACAACACGCATTTTGACCTCTAGCACAGTCAATGGTTGAGATTTGAACATAGGTTAAGATTGTCGAACGAAAACTCCATTTCCATGCAACAATATATAAATATAGGCCTTTGACGAGGTCGATCCATAGATAATATAGGCTTCACAGAAAGACATATCGACCGAGCACGAAGTGCGAGGTCAACATGCTTTTCTGTGAAGTCGATATATCTATGGATTGACCGAATTAAAGGACTACAATTGTTATATTACTTTTTCAGACTATAGATCAAAATAAATTCAGATGTTGAATGTTAATGAGTTTCCCTTATAATGATGGGGGTATTTGATTATGTCTTCTTATCAGCTTTTGACAAACATATCCAATATGCTTTAATATAAAGTAGATCTTTATTCAATGATTCATGACATTGTTACGTCTCATCAATTACGGAACATGAAAAAATATTTAATACAAGTTGGGGTAAAAAAAATTTCAGAGATATCACGTCTTATGATAAATTAACAATATGTATAATTTTGAAATCATTTTTATATTTGCTTAATAGAAACTTATCTCCAACATCAAGTCAATAGGCATTTTAGATTTAAAAAAAATAGTAACTTAAGTCTTTATGCAGTGATATACTTAATCATGTGATCAAGTCTGAGCTAATCAGAGAGCTTGGAATAAATAATAAAAATAATATAATATTCTAAGGTACTTCTTAATGTTCTCGATATTTTGGAGTCACTTTTATTTTTCTCTGTAAGTAAAATAATTGTTTAGGAACGTAATGGGATTTCACTTTTTTTCGTAGTTTTTTTTTTAAATCGTACACTGATCATGAGTAGACAATATTTTCTTTCTGTGTCAAGATAACCAACATTCTGTACATAACTTACTGAAGTGAACATTGATAACACTGATTAGCTGTTGTTCATTTTGACTAAACTACGAAAAAGTAAGCAACAGTTTAGTTTCTCAAAAAAAGGATTAATTAGATTTCATGTCGTTTCTAATAGAAATATTTAATAAAATCAACAGCATAAAACTTTTTGACTGTTCAACTTTATATTCAATCATTCAACATGATAAGATAAAGTACAGGCTTGTTGATATCAAACTAAGTTGTTTTTCAATAATATGAATAATATGAAACTCTTGAATTCACTTACCTCGTCATTGGTCAATTGCAAAATTAATTTGTCAAAGAAATTCGATTGTACATACAAATACACTGAAGTTGATAATGCTTTAGTTTATGATTGACAATATCTAATGTGGCTTTTGGAGACCAGGTCATCCAACAATATTTTGGAATTCCCATGGGTACCAATTGTTATAAGCAGAGCTTTTTTGTGTACATATGAAGCAGACTTTGCCCAAACTCTTACACATAAAAAGAAGAAAAAAAATTATCCTCAACTAGAAATTTATCTACAGACGACGTATTTCCATTTAACAATGGTTATTTCCATTTTTATAACGATACTATATATTTCGTTGAGCTTAAAATAAAAGATTCCAAAGAGACTGTCTCAAATTTGGATATTTTACTTTACTGTAATCTAACAAACAAGCTGTATGATACGTAATGAGTTTGAATTTTCAATCGTCAACTTCCTTTGCTTGTGCAGCAATATATACATGTACATCCATCACCTACGTATGAATAATTTCTAAAACGAGGTAAAATATTGAAAAACAGGTTGATGAACAAAAATATCAATAATTCTTGCTTAAACTCATCATTTCGTTAGTTCGAAAGGTCGATACAATGACTTTGTCAGCAAATACAATTTATCATTAAGTCAAATGCTGATTGACGTTTTGCATAGTGATTGTAAAGCCTTTAAATACACGTTGAATTGTCGACAGATTTTTCTGCTATTTCCCAATCATGACAAGGAGCCCACGGCGACTGTGACTGGTCGGCAGGGAATGCTCACTCCTCCATTGCACCTGATCTCTGACGTTTTGGAAGTCCGTCTTTGCTCTGCTCTAATTGCTTTTGTTTAATGAACTTTTGAGCCTAAATACTGTTTATCTCCATATATGTCATGCTGAGAATGATGCTATTACATATCAATAAATGTATTTTAACATAGAATAATACGTAAATCTATCTACTGCTGTTTATGCAGAATCATTAAATGCATAAGGTAAACCTACATTTACAGTTTGAAAGATATTATATAGCGCCTCAGTTGACAAAGGTTTTCTTTGTGGTGAAAATTTTCATTGTTACACTCAACTTAATGCAATCTTTGTTATATTATACTGAATCTTTTATACAAATACATATAACAGTGAACCGTGCGCGCATAAATTCTGCGCTGTCGCTATTTTTTGAAATATCACTCGTCGTCAAGCACTGTTGACTGTTACTACGTTGGAGGGTATATAGTATTCGACATGTCCGTCCGTCCCTCCGTCCATCTGTCTGTTACGCTTTGGTGTACCCATATCTTATCCACAACTACTCTTATACCACAGAGTAAAATCTAATAAAACTTTGAAGAATCTTTTTCCTTTTTGATCCGACACATATTTTGGATTTCCCGACCACAGCAAAACATGGACTTTGCAATTATAACTATATGGAGGTGGGGTATCATTTAGTGAGCTCATTGCTCACAATACTTTAGTTCATATATATTTAAATGGTTATTGTTTGAAAACATATTTTCTATCAAATATGATCTTTTACGTAAACAAAATACAATTTTTGATAAACATTCACAACGTAAGCCTGAAAGAAGTACCAAACAGTCATTAATAATTGAATTCTGAGTAAGTGTAAAAAGGTAAAGTGAATAAGCATTCGTAAAAAAGCCTATTTCTCATTAGTTCCGTCAAAAGTTTATATTTTGATTACTTTTTGTAATCATTTGGCTATGTTTTTCATCATATTAAAGATCGGAAAAGCACTGACAAATACTTCTTCATAATATTTACAAATTTAGGGTGGAAAATTGACAAACAAAATATAGGAAATTGGACTTTATTTTTAAGAATGATGTCTTATCTTTTATGTCAATTAAAAAAGAGAATTTATTCTTTGAATAATATTTCTTAATACTGTTCAGTTAATAAAATCTACAAACGAAGATGTTTAGATAAGTAAGAACTACGAACTCTAACTCTTGATTCCCGCCTACATGTTGCACCCATTTAATTCAATTTTAATGGCAATTTGGCCATTAAATCTTTCTTTAATACAAAGAACAGTTCTATGGTAAATGATTAATCATTTTAATTCCAACGCTAGATAGTAAATTATCATTAATTCCAGCTCTTGAAAAAAGGGGGATAGACGATATTTTCTAGTGAAATCGAACTTTCAAGAATCACCATATTTTGAAATAGTCTTAAATATCATAAAATGTATCTCATATCTTTTCTTATGTTATACGCAAATAAATAAAACATATAAAAAGCAATAAAATACAATTATTTAGTTGTAAATAGCTTTTAAATTGGTGAAAGATCAGCATTTTTTTTCTTTTTTGGGGGGTCTATATACATATCCCCCCCCCCCCCCCCCGTGAAACACAAAAATCTTTGGCATAAATTTGTAAACAGTCCATAAAACATGTAAAAAGGAATTTTTGTTTCACACGATAATAAGCCATTGTAGCTAGAAAGTTAGTAGAACATTCGGGATAAACAGTCATAACAAGAAACTCATCTGAATTACGGCATACAATAATTTCCTACGTATGACATAATATTTTAAATTGAAATAAATAGATTAGTGTATAAATCATAATGATTATATTATAAACATGAAATATCAGCAGCAAGGAGTATAGAATAATTCACTTTTATGTAAAGCGAGCTTTTGTCTTTATTTCAGGTGTCTATTACCTTCCGCATGGCATGGAGAAGGTCGTATTCTTCAGCTACATACTGTGATCAATCCACAATAAACCAGGGAGGGTTGATAGCATATATGGGATCCATTTCATGTTTTGGATGTCAACATTATATCTGGAGTAGCACTGATGTCACCATGACAAATACGTCTTTTGTCTGTACTGACTACAGCATACAGGAAGACTGGACGCAAGGAGAAAGAACCTTTCTATATAATTTTGGAAATTCAATTACTTACTTTGGGTAAATATATTTTCCTCAAACTTCAACTAATTAATAATATGATAAATGCATGTACTTTAAATGCTGGACAAATATTAGATCATCCAAATATTAGATCATCCAAGAACGATTTGTTTTAAAAAGATTTTAGTCATTTTATTCTTATAGACTTCATGATTATTTCGAATCGAAATTCTTTGTGATGGACAAAAATCTCATTATCTCATTACTGATACATGTATTACGTCCCTCTCGATTTTTTAATAGGCTATTTGTATAACCATGGTTAGTTACAATAATGTGAGAAACCAATGTTGCCAAAGAGAAACCAAAGAAACAAATGCAGTTTAAAGTGAATAGACTTTTTTGCATTGTACAAAACTGATAAGCGAATATTGCACAATAGACTTAAATGTTAATTAGGCTTGATATTTTCTCATACAAACGAAATAAGGGGATGTGGATTACATTCGTTGTAGTCAGTAGGGATACATTGATTCAAAATAATTTTTTGCGCATTTTCACTTTGTGAATTAAAAATTTTCCAAAAAAAAAAAGAAAAAAAAATTCGATAAATTAAAATCATACGATGATTTTTGTCAAAATTGGAAGTTTTATTGATAAAACACTTCCTGTGGACAAAGTTTACATTTTTCTCAGGAGTCCTATCAACCACATGTATAATTTAAATCACGAATGCGTGCTTTTGGAGATTTTTGAAGAGACTTACTTTTACAATCGACGACTGACTTTTACAGTTGAAACAGTAACTTGCTCCATTAATAAAATGTAAAAAGTTAGCTGTCGAATGTAAAAGTAAGTCTCTTCATAAAATCAATAGTATAAGACATATATGCTAACTAAAATGATAGATTTTTTGGACTAAGAGTTAAACAGAAAACAGTCCAATCACTCATAAAAATTTCAAATACATGTTTAATTTTTTGACTTAGTTTTACTGGGAACGCTTGGATATCACTTGTTTATGGTGGCGGGAATTGGGAAATGCGTACAAAAGTGAACCTTAGTGTACGAGCCGATACAGGTTTGATCAACACATCCCCAACTTCGGCTATGCCTGCTATTGTTCGACTACAACATGGGTGTGATCACAATATCACGATACCTGGTCAGTGGTTTTCTTTTTCGTCATCCCTTCACATATTTGATAACTTTTAAAAGTACATGTTTATCATAAGTTTAATTCTTTATGTTGTAGTCTTCGACAAAGATAATGATGTTATTAAATGCAGGTGGGCTAAATCTGAATACAATGAATGCGGTGGCGTTTGTTCTACTTTTAAACATGCTTCATTAAACGAGGTAAGAGAATTCAAATAGAAGAAAGTCTTATTTCATCACGAATCCCTTATAATAACTTACACATTATTTATCTGTCTGTACAATTGGGAGTATATTCAATTCACAGTTACTTTGTTTAATTTATTCTTTTACGAAATATATTGTTGGTAACCAGTTTAGCAGGAAATTCATATTAATTTTCAGAACTGCGAGATTCGCTACTCAGCAATCTATCAAATTGGATGGTATGCAGTTGCAATACAAATAGAGGATTTTGCATCCGAAAATTCAACAACATCACTTAGCAGTATACCTCTCCAATTTTTAGTGAACGTTTTTCAGTCGTCTAAAAAATGTAAAAATAGACCTGTGTTTTTACTACCTACAAGACAAGATGGTGCGTGCGTGGGAGTGCCTTATCCTTCAACATGGAGTGAGAAAATTATTGCAAAAGCGAGTCAAAATGAAAGGTATGACAGCGTTGTACAGAAAATTATATTATATTCGATATATGACATTGTTTCAAAATACTCAACAGATGACTTTTTTGTCATCCTCTTCCATTTTTTTCTATTGTCACCTACAAAAGAGTTAAGATGAAGTGAACGAAATAACAGTATGCTTTTCTATGGTTGATTCAGTGATCTTGCGAGTAAATACAATAAATTGTTAGTTTTGACTGACGAGTTAATACCCAGAGATAGGCATTTATTTTCTTCAATGAATCTGCTTCATCCCTCTGTGACATGGAACCCATACATGTAGTGGGTGTGACTTGTCGACAGACGATGCTTACTCCCCCATGACACTTATTTTTTTATAGTAAAACTGTTGAAGTTTGAGAGATCGGCCCCAAATGTATTTATTCCTATGGACTTTTGAGATTGATATATGTTGGTTATCTTGGCTTTCATTTTAAAAAATACAACCACAAGATCTATATCTTTTTCCATTTACATTAAAAATCAAAAATAATTTAAGTGCGCGTCAACTTAAAAATATAAAAAAAAAAAATACCCTGGTCCTCAGTAACTAACTCTAAATTGTTTTAAGATTTCGATGATTTTTTTGTCATAGCATCAGCGAGATTAACACAGTGTCTCCTACTGGTTTTAAGAAGTCCAATCTTAGTCGGTATGATAACTCAGGAGAGGAATGGTACGTAAATGTCACGTGGACTCCGAAAGCCAATCAAGCTGGAGAACATCCTTTCTGTTATACCGCAAGTGACACTGATGGGCATGTCTTCTACATTAATAATAGTTTACTTTTTAAGAAAATAAAATAAATTAGTTATTTTTTTATATTAATTTCAGAAAAGTTTTTGAGACCTCAAAAGTGAGATTGTAAGAAACATTTTGTATCTAAGATAATCAATGCAGTTTTTCTTTACAGATTGGTTTCAGAAAGAATTTGTATAGAGTTGCTCGTGGGAGGTAAGGTTTTGAAAAAGCTAAGTACATTTAACATCATTATATTTCTTTAACATATAGTGTTTTGATAGCAAAGTATATGATCGGGAGAGAGATTGTTTAATTTAATGTCATTAATCCAGTATCTATTATATCATATTCAAGAATATTTACTAATCTTTTTAATGCTATGTTCTGAAGCTTTTTTTACATATCAAAACACATAGCAAACAAAGTTCACGCACTCACCAACATAACACCAACACAATCACACACACACACACTCACACACACACTATACACTTTCTAAAGTTTAATAATAAATATATACATTAAACGTAAACATATAACAATTAATCATACAACATAATCCAAAAACAAAACAGATGTACCAAAATGTGTAGATATAAGAAAACATAATTTTTATTACTCATCACTTGTACATATCACCATACAGGACCCATTGAATGAGTTTTTTTGTCTTGCATTGAAAAAAATAATTTTCTATTTTTCTGTAATACTTGAATAACCTTACTGCATCAATACATAATGTCTTTCTGTCTTCTGATCTTGAATAGTAAATGGACTCTTTTGCAACTTATAAAAGAAAATTTTCTGAGCAATTTCTTTCTATATTACAAAGTAAAATAATTCTTTTTGTTAGTTTGTAATCTTTTCAATGACACTAAACATTCCAAAATTCAATCACATATACACAATCATAAAACAAGTGCATTATTGTCTCTCTTTCAATATTACATATTACATAGTACAAACACTATTTTCAGACAGCTTGATTTTATGAAGAATGAGTTGGTAGCAATAACATTCATCAGTAATCGATTTTTGTCACTTTTGTGCATAATGATGCACTTGCAAAATAAAATCTCCATTAGATTGTCTCATCAAGTCAAGTTTCCCACTTTACCTTTTTGGAAGTTGGGGGTATAAACTCCTTTTCTTTCAAGAAAATTTACAAATCTTAGCTAATACATGTCATCATAAAACTATATATTATATATCATTTAACAAATATGTAGCTTTAAGAGTTAAAACATAAATAATAAAATAAAATAAAACATATGGAGATAACATTATTCGAGATCAAAGGTCCATTTTTACAATATAAAATTGGAGCAGAGCAAACACGGACCTCGAAAATATCAGATGCAGGATCAGGTGCCATTAAGTGGTGAACATACCCTGCCAACCTGGACACCCAGAGTGTGTTCTTATAATGATCGAGAAATAACAGGAAAATCCAGCTTTAATTCAGTGTGTAAATAATGGCCGAACAATAATTCAGTACAAAGTTCAGTCAGCATTTGACACAAGGATAAACTGTATTTGCTGACAAGGTTATTGGATCGACCATATATTTTGCAAAATTGAATAAAGACCTTAAACGAGGCTACTGGTATTTTTGTTTTAGCTTGTCTGGTAATAGTTTAGAAAATCAAAGTATAGATATCAAAGGTTAATATTTGTTTGACAATCATTCATATTTTATCTTTTTTTTCTGAAATTAGACATCATCTCCAAAATGTTGATGTGTCCTCTTAAAATAATTAAATAATGGTCACATTTTTACACGCAGTTGCCCCTCCAGAGATTGTATCTCTTTCTCCAACGCATGATGTTTACCCCACACTGAATTCATTCACCATATATTATGACACAATGGTAAGTCCTTTCAAATATTACTGACTATGTAACGTCATTTTTTTATTACACACAAAGTATTTTAAAAAGTCTCGACAACGATATTTCTCTAGTTTCTTTTTACTTTTTATTTAGGATTGTATTTCCTGTGTAAAGTATGAGAGTCATGATATTGTAGTTTAAAAATCAAAAGTTCGTAGATTCATTAAAATATCAATTAAAATGACTTTTGTATACATTTTAGCTCGACAATGATATTTAGCAACGAGATTTATATATAACTCATGATAAATTCTTTTAATACATTGTAGTTTGTGCGTCCAACACGTACGACATACTTTTATGTTTACACACGAAACAACACCTTAGTCTCCAAAATCGATGTTTCACAAGATTGGAGAGTGACATATCCTGCTGCATCAGATAGTTCTTTTCCCTGGAAATTAGAAATACCTGTAAATTTTAGACTACAGGAAAAAGAATTTTACTACATAAAAATGGACCCAGGTGAGAAAATCCAAAATTAACCTTTTAATTATTAAGATTTGAATTTACAACATCTTTAGTTGGATCAATTGTATTATATGACTGTGCATTTTGACTACTTTTTATACATATAGGGGTTGCAAAGGGTACTTCAGGGTGTGGTGCTGAATCAGCTGCTCTCTGGAATACTAGAGATTGGACATTCCGTGTCCGTGAGTAGTTTTAATATCATAGTTGTTACATGTATTACTCTTTTATCTGGTCACTGTAAATATTAAATGAATATGAAATGAAATATTTAGAAAATGTATTGTAATCAAGCTCAAAATATCATTGAAAAAATCAGATGCGAAGCAAAGAACTTTATTCGATAATAACCAAAATTTGCCCCACAAATCAAACTTTCATGCAGATATATTTAATTAAGTTCTTAAGGTTGGTCCCTACTCAAACGCGTCATCACAATTTACCGGATATGATTATGTTAAATGTTAAATGTTAAAACCAAATCCGTCTTTACAAGTTCTACCGGGTTATTACCGTTATCGGTTTAGTTATTATATAGCGCTCAGCATTTCCAGTTGGCACTTTTAACATTACGTTCGTGTTTACCGGGATGCCAGGGTTTAAAGGCAGGTTGTTAAAGACTCACTGGTTATAAAAAAATGAAGGATTAGATAAAGGAAGAAGCAATCGAAAAAACAAAACAGATTTATAACATGTGACGAAACAAATGGTGTGCCAGTAAGTGACTTAGATTACAGTTATCATTATCATAGAGTTATGGCTGTGACGGAGAGAATATTCATGTTGTTAGAGAAGAAAAGACATATTCGGTTTAGGAAGATGAGAAAATAAATCAGTAGAGAGTGGGCAGACGTGTAGTTGAGCTTGGGGTTCTTGCGGATGGTCTAAGCAGTTGTCAGTTATGCGGACAGCCCTACTACTTGTCAAGTGAAAAGTTACAGACTGTGGGCTAGTACTGAAGTGGCAACAGGAAGCAAACACTAGACTTCAAATGGCAGAAATGCATGGGATGTATATACCAAACTAGCAGCAGGTAATCTGAATTTCATTACATGGTTTATTCACATATTCAAATTTGATCATGTGGGTTATTTTTATTTTAAGAACAGTAATAGTCAGTATACAAACATGATAAATATGACTTGCTTTTTTGTTAAAAGCACCTTTATTCTCAAATATACATATGCACACAAGTGTACCTAATTAAAAACACACATACAGAAAATAAACAAGGAAAATCATGTCATATATTCACTTTCTGTGTTGACTTGTTTATAATTTCTCATTTCAGGAATAATAAAAGGAGGATTTGCCGATTTGGTGAAACACATGTTTATTCACACCTGGCTGCTTAAAACATACCCAACATAACTCTGAAGAATAGAGGAAGAGAGGTCAGGCAATAATTTGGACAAATGACAGGGGAAACTTGTAATGAAAGTCTGCAGGAGGAGATGAGATTGTAATTGTTGTATGCCATTTTCTAGCAATACATGACCTAGTTATATTTTCATTTGCAATTATTTTTTTTAAAATTATGTCGTTAATTAAAAATATTATTGTTTAAGAGTGAAGGAAGTATGGTGTTTATATCTGATGGTGCTTGTCAGAAGAGGGGTACCGGGAGAGCTTATAATAGTCTTACAGGTAAATGCACCAAGTATCAACACCTAACATTATAGAGACTAATTGTCACATGGACAATGGTGGTCCTCTGCTTTTACGAAAACAATTTTCTTTAGTTTATGAATATGTTTGAATAATTAATGTTTTACATTACCCCTTTTTTTGTGTCAAACCATTGTCTCAAGACATGATCCAAAGTCCGCATATAGCTCTCTCCTACTCGTGGCTGCTTGATCACCATAAAGTTTGTAATCTTGAATATTTATCTCTATTGCAACATCGTATTCAGTAAATTACAATTTTTGTTTCCATTGCAATTGAAATCAACAATTGATATCAGCAGTTTACAAAATATATATTCCATTCACTATGATTGGGTATTGAAAGAATGCATCAAAGTTCATCATACTATGCTTTACTCGTATTAGTCAATATTTTAATGAGCTGCCAGTTTATATTCTGTTCGTGTTCAACCACTGCCAAAATAGGAGAGGATAATACATTTTTGCAGTGGTCTGTGATGACAGTGTCTAACTTATATATTGGAATACAGATATCATAAGTTTAGTTTATTTTTACAGGACTTGCCTCTCTGTTGGAGAAAAATCGAAGAAAATAATCGTTTTTTAGTAAAGGGGGGGGAGTATGGTATGTGCAGCTGCCAAATTAAAGGGTAATCCTCCCAGGCAACACAAGTCCTGTAAGAACTCACCAGGATCGGTGAAGGCTATGGAGCTTCAGCCTCCCATGGCCTGCGAGATGTTGGAGAAGATTGAGAATGTAGGGGGAAAGGTAAGTACATCCAGAAAAAAAACAATCCAACAATTTTAAAAAACTAATTGTACAATCAAATCATTCAAAACATAAAAATTTTATTTGCTGTACAACATATTAAATTTTTTAGGTAGATAATGTGATTATGGACAAAGACTCAACTACCATGACAAGAGAAAAAGTTAATGTTGATCCCAATATGAGTAAAAGATCCGACAGTAGTCAAATGAAGAAGGGATTTACGGGTGCATTAGTAGAACTGAGCAGCAAGCATAAAGTTTAAAGTTGTAACATAACTTTATCTTTATCCTGTGCTGGTATTACTGAAGTAAAACCAGTATTAAATTGTTTGTATTTGAGTGCATGCCTATAAAGAAGAAGGTTGCATTGGTTTAGCCATATTTGTACATGTACGGACATGATTTAATTATTGATGAGTTGTCAAAAAATGCATTTAAATGATTTTTTTAAACAAATTTACTTGTTATGTTTTATAATGCATGAAAATGGTATTTGAGTGTGATTTTTCTTTTAAATATGTTTGTTACTGGTTTTTTTTAGTTTAATTTATTTGATTGGCAAGGGTGTATACATGATCTAGATGGTGTAGAAAAATAAAAAGCCTGAAAAGTACTAATTTTTTTTTTTTGGCTTTTTAGTTGCAACAGATATAAATCTAATATTTTAAATGAAAAAGAATGTGTTTATCCATTACTTTAAGAAAAAATGTGTAAAAATGACGATATTGTTAAAAGTTTTAGAGCACCAAATTGATATCATATTCCCCCAAAAAATTATTATAAAATAAATATTCATATATGAGACTGGTTATGCATTTCCTACATATTAATGAATAAAAAAAATACATTTGAAAGTAATTTTGCTTTTATATTGCTTTTGATATGAGCCATATATTGAGCGTGGATGAAATAGTGTCGTGAAAGAAGGGGGTATACGTCATCAAAACTCTCTAATTTGAAAAATAACATGAAAAGTTATTTATTTTTTATGCTTTTTATTTAGATAAAGTATTATTCTAATGATTCCAAAAGAAAAAAACTCCTTTTAAACCATTAAATCTCCTGAGTAGGGACCTACCTTAAACACGGAAGTATATCCTGACTTCAAAGCACTGAATATATTTTTATATGTAATGACGCCAAATGTACGTAATGCCGTCACAAACATGACGTAAATTTCAGTTTTTTATGAATTTTACAGAAAAATGTATATACATGTATTTCGTCGATATTTTGAGTAAAAGTCACCAAGCGCCTGTGTGTTCAGGACCAATATTTTGATATAATGTGTGGAATGATAATATCAATGAAATATGTCAATATTGTTCCTGAACAAACTTGCACTCTATAAATTTGAAAGCTAAAATTGTTGAAATTTTGTCCATTTTGTCCTCTTTCTGAAAAAGGATATAAAATCGGACTAGTTTGTGGCGTCATGAAAACAAAAATTGTGAATACACTACTTTGACATTATAATATTTTCTGTTAATTTATATTTCTCATACAATTTATTGAATTCAGCACATTTCAGGAAGTTTTCAAAATTTGACTTTTGTGGGGGCAAATATATATCATTGCTAGAATGGGTCTGCCGTGTCAGATGTTTTACATAAATTAATTTTAAGGATGTAAATTAAATATTTATGTAAACCCACTGACAATAGTTTAACTCTGTTTGATAAGAAAAAACAAAATTAAGATTAAGTGAATTGAAAAATGCCATTTATTTACATTATAAATGACTGTATGAAAAAAACACTAATATCATGCATATAAACATATAATGCAGAATCAGAGAAATTGAACAATTGAAATTATAATCATTTTTGTTTCAATAGATATCAAAGTTGGAGTTTAAAAATTCGCCACATTATTGTGTTAACATAAACGCAAAAAACCCCATCCTTAAACTATTGTCTTCTAAGAATTGTTAATATTAATCCACAAACATAAATACCACACAGTTTCTTCAAAGACGGTCAAGATCCTCCTTTATAAGTGATAGAAGGATCTAGTTCAAGCTCCATTAACCAGCAGCCCAGGTAGCACAAAACATTTTCAAAACATTTTATTGGTGTTGTAAAAAGGTTTTTTCGAAACATTTCAGACTAAACATTTTAAAAATGTTTTTAAAACATTTCCTCTTCTCATTAAAACATTTTATAAACATTTTAAAAATGTTTTCAAGAAGCTTATGATTAAATCCTTTTGGAACATTTTTCTAAAATATTTTTGAAACGTTTTAAAAATGTTTCAAAAGGTATGTTTAGCTTTCAAATATCTAAAGATTTTTATATTACGTTTTAAAAACGTTCTAAAAACATGAAATGAAACATTCCTTTTCCATAAATCTGAAACATTGCATAAATACGTTTCTAAAACATTTGTCAAGATGTTTTTGAAACATTCTTAATTCATTTAAGGGTATTCATAGCTTCCAAATATAAAAGATCTTATAAAACCTTTTAAAAACGTTTTTAAAACATGAAATGAAACATTCTTATTGTGTAAATCAGAAACATTGTATATACGTTTCTGAAACATTTGTAAGGAACATTTTAAAAATATTTTTAAAACATTCTTAATATCGCTGTTAGTTAGAAACATTCAATTCCGGATATTTTTCGGCCTAGGCAGCGAAAATGTTTATATAAAACATTTACTAAAATAATTATTTTCACTACAATTGAAACATTTAAATTATAGTTTTGTAACATTTTTTGGAAACATTTTCAAAATGTTTCTGAAACATTTATGTAATTGCGGCACAATTTAATTCATTTAGTAACTTTAAGAGTATGTTTTGAGAATGATCTTAGAACATTCAATTTAATGTGTTTTCTTTTTTGAAAGACTTCATTTTTCATTACTGCTGTTATTTTCAAAATGTTCTTAAAAATGCATGATTGTGGTTTTCCTAAATTTAGTTCATGAAGAAAAAAAAGAATATAGAGAAAAAATAGTGTTAAAATGAGGAATTGTAGAACTTTTTTAATTGAAAGATTTTTTCCGGTATTTTATAATGATTTCTAGGTTTGGCTTATTGATTATATTAAACAGACATAATTTTTATAAAGTCCTTTAATTAAACAAATCAAAAAATCAATAAATGAAAGGATAGGCAAACAAAAATAATTCAAATATGATTAAATATATAAAATCATAAGCATTAAATAAAACTCTTAAATTTTTTTTTTAAATGTTCTTCATCAAATCTGTGATCCACTCCCAGAATTTTACTCTGAGGCATTAGATAGGGATTGGCACACTGGTCAGTTTCAGTGTCATGATAACCTATTATGCAATTCTCCTGCTGGGCAGCGCGTTACAGAGTATAGTGGTTTGCTGCTTATCTAGGCCAAATTTTGAATTCTGGTAAACAAGATGTGCGCGCTTACTCTGTACCAATTTGAATGAGAAGACTTCGCACCATATAAACCACAATAATAACCTCGGGATTTATTAACTTTGAATGGTAAGAATTATTCCTTTATCATAGGCTTTAAAAGATCATTTAAAAACAACTTTTATACTACCAGTGCATGATCAATAACTTTGTACAAATGTATGTCAGTAGCAATGACAAAGCGTTAAGGTTATACATATTTGAATTGAATATTTCATTCTTAAGGCAACACAATTATATCCTTGATTCAAGAATTCGATGTCTTTGTGAAATGTTAATCATCAAACAATATGTTGATTTAAAAATTAAAGTTCCTTACAGCATGGTGTTGGTTGCATCATCCGTATTTTCAAATTCCCACATTTAAAAGACCCGCCTTGGGTGAAGGCAAAGGTGTACGTAAATACTATTACTGTGGAATCATCATTGTTCATGGGGGACCAATGTTCGTGGCTTTCGTGGGTAACCCTGACCCACGAATTTATATCCCACGAACTTACAAACAAACATTTGCTTTATTATGTATTTACGTTACGAAAACGAAATAGAACTTGTTATCAGCGAAATTACGTCCCCACGAACTAGGAGATTTTTGGCTACCCACTAAAATTGATCCTCACGAATAAAAATGATTCCACAGTACTCTTCAATAATATTGTCATAGTAATTATTTTTCTGCTTTTTTCAATGCAAATGAGGAAATAGCTTAAATTTGATATAATTATTTAAAATATTTTTTGTATATTTTCATTGATCATCTTTAAGATACATTAGATGTAGAACACTGATACAAACACAATCTTCCTTATCTTTACTGATTGTGCTACTCTTTCCGAGGGGCAGGTTCCTTATCAGCCTTTTCAGTTTATGTGATTCTGACTAAGTCTTATATAGATCTGCCACTCTGTTCGACCTATACAGTGAACATTGGATTTCTGTGATTCCGTACTTTTTTAAAAATTCAGTGAATGGATTAGACGCCGTTTTCAACCTTTAAAAACCCGGTGACTTGAAAGAAAATAAATTAAAACTTGTACCGAAAATGGAATTTAAATGTGATTAACATATTTAATATGGGTTTGTATTAAAGGTTAAAAAAATAAATATAATTTGTGTTTATTTATTTTTTTAATATTTAATGAGAAAGAGTAAAAATTCAGGAAAAATACTTTTGTAACCTGGACTTTAATGTTTTGAAAACGTTTTAAAAACCAAACAATTTAAACGTGAATAAAACATTTTTTGAAAATGTTTTTGTTACATTTAAAAACAATGTTTTGATAACATTTATTAAAATATTTTGTAAAATGTTTTAAAAACATTTAAGAAACCATACAAAATCACGTGATTAAAACATTGTTGAAAAATGTTTTTGTAAAATTTTAAGAAAATGTTTCGGAAACATTTGCTGAAATATTTCACTAAAATGTTTTAAAAACGTTTAAAAACCATACAAATTCACATGATTAAAACATTATTGAAAATGTTTTTGCAACATTTTAAGAAAATGTTCTGACAACATTTCACTGGATGAAAAATACAGTTTCCGCATGGCTGAAACTCTGCAGATACTAAAGGTTACTAATAGTTTCCGCAAAGTTTCAGTGCAGAAACTTCAAGTTTCATCAAGTTTCCGCAGTGCGGAAACCAAAGGTTTCCACGAATCCAAATAGTTTCCGCAACTGAAACTTGCTGACACTTGAGGTTTACGCAAGGTTTCAGCATGCGTTTATGATTGAAATACATATGGTGTTCCATAGGTTTCCGCAACTGAAACTTGCTGAAACGTGAGGTTTACGCAATTAAAGGTTTCAGTATGCGTATACTGTTGGAATACATATGGTGTACCATAGGTTTCCGCAACAGAAACTGTACTATAAATTATTCAATTTAGCCCAGCTTTTCAACCAAAACTCATTTTCCCCCTGAATTTTCATATTGGAAAAAAAAACAAAACACACTCACACTAGATATCAAAGAATATTTTATGTTATTATCAACATTAACATACATTGGCTTGGCCATTTTTTTCTTTTGCATCATAAATATTTTTACAACTAAGTCCGACGATTTCTCATGTCACAACAGAAGGACAGAGAAAATGTCTGCATTTAATGACGTCTCATACATGAAAGAAATAATCTTGCGAGAGGAACTTAGAACTGCAATCAATCAACTTAACCTGAATTCGGTATATGCAAGTCTAGTATCATCAAGGAAATGTAAAAGTACTTGGTGTAATAAATGCACAAGTTCACATCATTAGTAGCCAATAAGCACCAAAGTGGATTTCTTTGTTAAATATTCAGGTTGTAGTCCATCATCAACCAACAGAAAAGTCCTTGAGTGGTCCACATTTTTGAAGACCCACTTGCACTTCAAATTCAAGTTGAATTGACCAGCTCGTCAGTTACTTCAACCTATTGAAAATATATAAAAATAAAGTTTAACAAAATCCCAATCTAATTAAACAACATGTTATATCCTCTTGCATACTCGCTACACAACATCTAACAGCATCCACAGAAGGTCACGTCAAATGTCAAATACGGAACAACTCAGACTCTAGACTTATTCATTCCAATAAATTAAATACAATAATTCTTGCATTTGAGTATTTGATTGGTTAAAAAATTTACAGTTTGATGTGACACTCTACCGGATGCCATTAGATTTTAGTCAATATGTGCGCAGATCTAACATTTAATTTTAAAAAGATTGACAAACTGAAAGTATCTAAAACTGTTCTAGCACAAGCCTTTGTTTGATTAATTTCAGCATTTTTGATCAGAATGATTTTAAATAAAATCTAAAAATTTATCAAGTGTAAAATCTCATTAGTTTATTAAAGTTGCCTCTTTTTGTTACTTACAGGTAACCAATACCTTTATCAGACATCATATGATCCTTGTTACAGTCAACCCTGTCGAAATGGAGGTACTTGCTACCAATATGGGTCAACATATTACTGCAATTGCCTCAATGGATATAGTGGACAAAATTGTGACATTTCATCAAGTAAGTTATGGTCTACAGATAACTATTTAATACAACCCTTTAAGGGGACATCAATTTTAAGCAAAGGCTGCTTGATTAAGTGATAGAATTAACATTTACGAAGACCTGGACTTTTGCATTATTTTATGTCTTCAATAATATTTGACCATTTTAATTTTTTTAAAAAAAAAACTTCTTTGAAATTCAAATTAAAAGATATACCTTTGCTGTAAAAATAAATATATGACATATTTTTTTCTGTTTCTAGGAAAAAAAGTTTGAAAAACCAGGCATATGAATACTAGTACTTCCTTCTAATGTCATCGTCTTTAACTTCGTTTCATTGTATCGAAAGAAGATAGAGCCTCATTAAGATTTTCATTAGATCGTGTGTAATTTTGGTATTATTTCAATAATTTATCCACTTTTTAACAATTTTGAATGAAAGATTTTATAATTCAGCGGAAAATGCGGTTTCTGTAGCATGCACAGATAATTCATGGAATATCAGATTGTATCTTCCACCACTTCATGGTCAATATTCGGATTTTGATCCCTATGACGTCTATCTAGGCCAAGATAGTTGCACCGGAACAGTCAATGGGAATTACTTGATTTTTCAGCCTGATTACACAGGATGTAATACTTTTATGAAGGCACGTGTATCTTTTCAAAATCATAATTTTATGCAGTTTAACTTAACGTAGAGGTTTTCATTTAGCGTTTTTCTTTTAAATTTGTTTTTGATTTTTAAAAAAAAAATATGAAAATATTCAAAGCTTGTCTTATAATAACTGTAATGTTTTACAGATGTCCTTGGACAATATTATCTACACCAATAAATTGATCTATGCCTTACATGATCCGAATCATCATTTCATTGTCCGGGAGTATCGTTTTCAAATAAATGTTGATTGTTACTTACCACGGTCCGAAGGTAACTCTGGCCATTTCAATCACGGTCATGATGTGACCTCTTCTATCCACGTGAATGGTTCTGGACACCACCAAGTCCATCTACAGTTTTACACAGATTCTTCGTTCACGCAAATAAAGCCTCTTTATGGCTCACCTGTTGGCGATACTGTTTACGTTAAAGCAACTACTAATGTTAGAGATTATAATGTCAAGATGAAATTGAGTGACTGTTTTACAACACCAACATACAGCTCGGATCCTTCTTTACGTTACTTTATAATAAGCAATGGGTAAGAACTCGGCTACAGAATCCAAATTTTAAATATTTGCATCCACTGAATAATATTTCCTTTTTTCTTATGAATATCATTGCCGTTAATCGGTCTATAAACCACACAAAGAAATACACACCGCCATCCACTTTGTGAACAATGGATGTGTCACAGGGTGGCTGGCGGCTTCCCCAAAATCACAATAGACTTTTTGTTAAAATATAGTTTTTATTTACAAAAATGTACAAACACACGCGACATGGCTCAATGACTCACTGCTGGATGGCATACATAGCATTGGTGAATAGTTGGCCTAAATAAATGGGGCCTATCAAATAAAACAAAGTCAGATACAGACATAATATAATTATACTTATAATTGCTCATACTTGTACATTTTGCTGTACATTTACTTAGGTGCATTTTACTGCATTACACTTTACTTAGGTGCATTTTACTGCACTGTACTTATACTTTACTTCACTTCATTCCATACTACTTTACTTTATAGAACGTTTACGTTCACACATAAACTAAGTGTATTATTGTAGACAACCACTTTAAGACGAATACTATACACCATACTTTATACATACAACACTACGTCTACATTATACATATACTCATACACTTATGCTTTTACTTATAACACATATACTTTACATGAGCAAATACTACTTTGAATCTAACTTACAAATGAAATTATAGAACAAAGTTCTGTGGCCATTTCAGGAATAAAAAACCGTCAATAAATCATACAGTTAACGATAATAAATAAAATACACTTACCCAGAATAGGTGGACCTCTGGTCATGAAATATTAATAAAATATAACTAAACAGGGGAAAACATGAGCCGTCTTAGATCTCGACCGCTCTCTTCAGTTGCTACGCCCAATCTGATTTCACGGGATTTAAATCGCCAGGTAAAACCTGCTAAACAAGCTTAAAAGTATGGTAAACATTTTGGGCTTAAATTATTAGTTAAATAGTATTCAGATAAAAACATATGGAAATCAAATACGGACATCAATTGTGACAGGATGTTCCAGCAGTTTTGCATACAATCGTATATACAAGTACATGCCTAGGCCTATAATACAATTTATTTTACTTTGAAGGATTTACATGTAATCATACAGATGTAAACATAAGAAATACTGGATATATATTTTTTTTACCTGTTAGTCTGGAAAATAACGTTGCAATTAATTCAGAAAAAATTCAAAGGCAGAATATTTCATTTTCCAAGTCTTCAAAGAAAACATTTTAAGAATTATCCATACTTTTTAAACATGTGACATAATATGAAGTCTCCTCCAAAGAAAAAAATGTGTGTACGAGTGTTATCTGTCCTTAAACGCAATATATACTGCGATTAATCACTGTTTCATTTTTCGATTTCATGATCTGATCAGTCGATTGTTTTGCGTGATAATTTGCATAAAGGCGTTATTGCATAAAACTATGCACGCAAGCCAATTGATGGCTAATTGTCATGAAATCAAAAAAGCTGACAGTTATTCCTTATATTCACAGGCTCTTGATTCCGCCAATCCACGTGCTAGAAGCGCCGCTTCTTTTGCAACAGGGCCTTCTAATATTTGTATCATATGTTTAACAAAAAAAATCTGACTTTCGATTCAATGTAATTATTTTTGAGATTAAGACCATGAATTACAAACTTACCGGTAGTTAAGATGAAATAAAGCGCATTCTTTGATCGAAGACTTTGCAGAATTGCTTTTTGTGTATTATACAAGCATTCTTCTGAAAATATTTTTTAGATGTGTAATCGATCCTAATGCCCGGATTTTATCACAGACCATCCATGAGACAAGATTTTATTTCCAAGACTTCGAATACTCTATGAATCACGATTCCTTATATATCCATTGTAATGCTACGTTCTGCAAGTCCAATGATTATTCCGCAAAATGCGAACAAAGGTGTCACCATTTGTTTAAAAGAATTGGCGGTGGAAATGTTATTAACGATGGGCCATTTGATTCCACGGAGGTTAACCAAGCAATCAGAATGAAAAATGGTAAAATTAACTACACTTGTTCTCATGTGAAATCGATTTTAATTATGAAATAAAAACCATATGTTAGAACTAAAATTCTATTTGATATAACAGTATAGAAAACAACTGTGGCAAAAATTGGAGGATATTTAATAATAAAATTTAAAAATCATTGCTATTTATTGAACCTTGAGAAGCTAGATTAAAAGACTCTCTGTTCCAAATTCGGTTTTAAGGTAGAACCTATGTCGGAGAAGTCTTTGTCACAAGATTTTCAAACTTTTCATAATGATAAATTAGCACTTGCTTATCAATCAGTTAAAATCACATGACATGTTCCCTTGTTATTAAATGTAGTGCAGCCAGTTAAACATGGAATGATAAATGCATATTGCGACTTCACAATTTCAGTCGTTTTAGGGGTACTTGTCATGCAAAGAAGACAACAAGTTCCCAGAATTGCTTCTTTAAACATCGTTGTTTTTATTGTTTATTAATTGAACAGTATTAAACAATATTTCCCAAGAATAAATTCTTTTTTATTCAATTGACATAAAATATATCTCCATATTTTCAAAACTATAGGAAAATGAACTCTATTTATTTTCCATCAATTTTCCACCCTACATTTGTAAATATATATCAGAAGTGTTTGTCACAAAGTTTTCAATTTTTAATATAATAAAGAACATACCCAAATAGATACAAAAAGTGATTAAAATATATACCTTTCCCCTCTAACTAATGAGAGATAGGTTATTTACCGATACTAATATTCTTGACCTTTTTGCACTTACACAGATTTTATTATTAAATGACTGTTCGGGGTTACTTTCAGCTTAAAAATGTTTATAAAAAATTGTACTTTTTAATTCAAAAGATCATAATTAATAGAGAAATTGTAATAAAACTCAATGAATATGAATATTAAGTAACAAATAATTATGAAAAGAAATGCACACCATTTCATGATAGATATCACAAAATGTACACACAATCTACACGTACATCTTTGACTTAGACACATTTCATCAAGATATTACACTATTTAGTTGGCAACTGACGATTTTAAAAAAAGATTTTTGCTTTCCTTCAAAATAGTTACATACCATTTACATCATTACAGTTTGTTGTATACATGGCAATTTCATCACACAATATAGTCTTGGATTTGTCAACTTAATTAAGGTCAAGATCTATTAAATAAAAGGTGCCTACAGGTTTCTCTAATTCGTGAAATATATTGTCATTATGCATTAAATTAAAAATATATATAAATCGAATATTATGAAGATTAATTCGGCATCTTTTTAAATTGAATTCTTTGAATTTCAAAATGCAGTATTTTCTACCATTTCTATACTGAAGCTGTAAAGTACGGGAAATGACATTGAATTAATTATGACGTCATAATGGATCTAGCACAGGCTAAACACATTCACTAGTTATGATGTCATACGACATAGGTTCTACGTTAAAACAAAAATCCTAAATTTGATTTTCATCAAGAACGAATGTCTTGTGAATGTGAAAAAAAGTTGATAGCATGAAGCGGTGTTACACTTTCTCAGAAATAAAATTAAATAGTTCATACTTCATTACAAAATATCTGTCGAGTTGTTTTTGTGTTTTTTATGAAAAAAAGTTGTCATGTGTGATGTTATTTGCAAAATAATTCTTTGGCACAAGGAACTAATGATAAAGTCATCTTTTGTTAAATTATTTGTTGCTTTATCTCGCATAAAATATTATGATATCAAGAAAATGGCCATGGGAACCGTAAATATGACAAAATTAAAAAAAGAGCCCTTTATAGAAGTTATCTCTCCCACAAGAGGGTCATAAAGCTTTAAAATAAAATTTTAAAGTAAAACAAAAAGGCATAAAAGATTAAATGTGCTATTTTAACAAACCTTATATCTTTTTAGGGAACTCAAACAGTAGCTCAGAAAGTTCAAGTTCTGTTGCAGTCAGTGTTATTTCGGTCATTGCTGGTCTTCTCCTTGTCGTTATGATAACGGCATTGATGTTATCTTTGAGGAAAAGGCGTCAGCTAACTCAACAACAGAACCTATAACCTAAAATATTGTCAATTGACCTTTTTCTTTATGTTAATTTCTAAAATTATTTTAAAGTTACACTGTACACTGTACATGTACAACTGGCACCTAATTAGATTTTTACATGATACGGAAACACATTCTGTAAGTGCAGTGTCAAATGATTATCTTTTATTATTCAATACATTTTTATCAGCATTGTTCTGACTGAAGAACTGCCTACCTTCCTGATTTATTCGAATTTTTGTATGATTTTTGTAATCTCTTATTATTTTTGTTCTTTGATTTTGATGTCAAATTTTTCGTCATTGGAATTTTTAATTAATTAAAATATGTTAAAATCAGACATTATTTGGTTTGTATGAATTCATAGATAAATTCTTCATTCAAAGTACAATTTCTTCTGCGTAAGATTCAAATCGTAGGGACACATTGGTTTTCAAATAACGAATTTTTACCTTTTTTATCATTCTACCGGCATGTAAATTTCGCCCAGCAATACGTCAGGAGCTAAGAAGGACTGATGTGCAAGTAAATCTCATGCGTCTGTCTCGTATCTGACTCGAAGGAAAACTTATATAATTTAGTGTCTCATATTTTTCCAAGTTTTGTAACCCCTTAGTTCATACATGTACGAGCCATAGTATACGACCTCCATAGTTAAGTATTCAAACCTCATGACGGCTGGGGTTAATATGTCAAATAAAAAGTATGTCACGTTCACGTTTCTTTGTAATTGAAAGTTAACAGAAAATGAGCAGATATATCTCTACAAAAATTTTAAAATTCATATCCACTGATCTGAGTTAGGGATGTTAAATTCCCGATCGTGACAATTAACGCGTAGGCGACAGGTCAGCAGGGGATGCTTACTCATCCATTGCACCTAATCCCAGACCCATTGTTTTAAGGCCGGTACACACGGTAAGGCTAACCTTATAAGTCTAAAACCTTACGTCTTGCGGGACGTACGGCTCTCATGCCCACACGCTAAGGCAAGACTTACAATATTATAAACAACATTTACATAAATTTCCATGTGTTTTTGAACCATAAATAATGTGCATTTATTTATAAAACGGAATAATAGAATACTAGTTAGGAGTTTGAAATATTGTTACCGACCAGTGCATACACACTTCTGAAAAAGGAAGAGGAGGTTAGCTGAAGTATTTGTAGATAATATCGTTATCTTTCTCGAATACACTTTGTGTTTTCTTCAATATACCTAACCAACGTGTATAGTTTTATGAAAATAGATTGATATCTTGTATTGGGGAATAGTCTATTAGAGCAGTGTTCTATTCTAAAGTCAGACTAATAATTAAGGCTCCAAAAACGTGTATTAAGGGTGTTCACACGATAAGGCTAGAACTTAAGTTTTTGTAAATATTTACAAAAACCATGTGTATATGTAAAGTCTAAGAGTTGAAATCGATCTTTAAAATTTTACAATATAACTTGTAAATTGGTGAGCAACATGAAAATTCTTAATTTGGTATGTTTTGTTTTGGTTTTTTTTTATGAATAACTGTCATAAGTTGATAGGTAAAATGAGAATATATATGGAAGAATGTAGCTTGTCCACCAATTAAGCCAACCCCATCCCCAACCATAAAATATGATTTTTGTGTTGAGATCTTTTAGTGTTATGGACAACAATGTAACCCCCTCCCGTTTCCCGAAGAAATTTATGCTTGAGAAATCCTTTATTCAGGAATGAAAAAATGGAACTATATATATAAATTAACAAAATAAGAACGTCATTACAGTTGCTTCCATTAAAAAATTAAAAAGATACTGTCACAAAAGGTTCAAAATGTTATAAATAGGGACCTTGTAATATATTTTATTTAAAGAAAAATAAGGAACGTCAGGTGCCTGTGTGTTTGTACTCTCCTAAGTAACTTACCAAGAAGGCCACACTACTTTTTCTATAATTTATATAAACGCATATGTATCACACTCACCGATTGAGCATAAAATGCTTAAGATGAGCATATGACACATGGACCTCCTACGGACTGGGCCATTGTTGGAATGCAAGAGGAGTGTGGGGAAGAAAATATTGTACAGTACTTATTGCACTAGGCTTAAATGCTATATGTATACTCGAAAAAAGTATAGCTGTCATGACAACTAAGATAGCTTTCTGGATATTTTCTACCCAAACATAATATAGCTCTGGAAAAGTTGGGTAGGTGCTATTTGATGTAATTGCTAGGTTATAAAGAAGACCTTGGGGTCGAATTTGATAGTTTACGTTTGATAAAGATTCATATTAACAATTTCAGTAAATGTTTTGAAATAATGTCAACAGTCCATTCCAGAGGATGTTTAGTCGAAAAATGACCATAAGATACGTGAAAACGCGTGCTATCGATGTTTATGGAGGGGTAGATGAAACAAAAAAATGATCATCTTCAAATATAGCAAGAAGAAGTCTCATATTGGTTGAAGGAATTTCATTATCAGTAAGAAACGTATATAAAAGCACATTTTTTGTCTAAATGTACAGACACAAACTTTGAATGACCCAAACAAATATAGCTAGTGATCCAAGTCAAGTAGATATTCGATTAGCAATTTGTATACAGTGATTACACCTCCTATACCCGTTTTCGCGGATTCAACGATAACCTAATATCGAATATTTTACGCAGTTTCACGGATAATACCCGATTTCGAGTATTCTCTGCGACCTGTTTAACGACTTAATCATTGTTTATGGAGCTTCATTGCAGCAAGTTTGCAGGATTGTGTGAAGCAAGTTTGCCGTAATTTCTGCTACAGACTTGAGCAGATGTATGCGGAGAGGCAATTTTATTGGTACGGCATACAATTTCTGAAATAATAAATTATGCATATACTTGTAAATTAAAAATATATTACATCAAAATGATTTTATTTTGTCAATGAACTCGTTTCAAACTGATTTGTAATTCTAAAAAATGTTTAAAAAACATTGAAACCTAGATTGAAATAAAGGTGTTACCGGCTTGCCATTATCTGCAAGTGTAAAGACGAATAATGACCCTCATCGAATAATGACCGGGGGTCATTTTTCGACAGCGAAAAATGACCCCCAGTCATTATTCGACGTAGAAAAATGACCCTTTTGCCCGTAGAAAAAGTGTCACCACCCTTACAATTTGCAGAACCCACGTGAAGAAAAATGACCCTCGTAGAAAAATGACTCCTGTAGATTTAAACTGAAATTTTTAGGGGGCCAAAAAAAATTAGATAAAGAAGCATATTGGCCAAAATGCTCATCTGAGCTTATTTGGAATAAATTGATGATATGTTGATCGCATAACATACGATTATAGCTATATTTAAAGGTAAATGCAATGTTTCAGAATCCAAAGGAGTAAAGAGGGAAAGCGGGAGGGTATATACAGTACCGACCGGACACAACCTAACACCAGAGCGAACCCGGAGCGGACCCCGCGTTCGCTTCCCGGGTTCGCTCGGGGTCCGCTTCGGGTTCGCTTTCAGAAATTTTGGGTGCGCCCCGGGTTCGCTCCGCGTTCGCTCGGGGTCAGCTCTGGGTCCGCTAGAGCGAACCCGGCGTTCGCTTCCTGGGACCGCTTTACGCACTGATGCGTGAAGCGGACCCCGCTTTAATCTCACCGCCAGTAAGCCCCGCCCCTTGTTTATTCCATACAGTAATGGTATTGTTGATCGATCATTGTTGTTTATGCGACTATGCGGACATGTACACTGTACATGTAAACAGTGATATATTGGAGAACATTGATAATTTTTCTAAAATTCAACTGTACAATTGACGTAGATTTACATGTACATGAATAATTGATTTCCTTGATTTCTCGATCTCGAGAAATTCAAACTAATTTAACAGCGGGTTATAAGGCATTTATTTTTCTTAAGTTATAATGAGAAAATAAAAAAGAAGGGGAAGAAAAGAGTGTTAAATTGATTTTCAGTGTATCGAATGTTGTACAAGTGAAACTGACGAAAGAAATCCAAACTAAATAACTTTTAAATTCATGCTTTATATAGTTTAAAAATACATTTGTTATTCCTTAGGTTTTGCTAAATCGTAGTTTAAATGTTTGCTTACATGTTACACATGAATTATGATATCGCATCTATAAATAACATGTAACGTTTGTACATCTGATATATTTAGATTTCATTTATAGTAGTTACATGTGAAAAGTTCGTAATAAATATTAACTGGACATTTTCTAAAAAAAAAAAAAAAGGCAATAATAATTGCTCTCCCGACCCCATCAGAATATATGCCCCCTATTAAACACACATTGTCTTTAAAATATTCTAATTATTTAATTATTTTATTTATTATTTCTCAATTTACGTGTTTCATTATATTATTCAAAATTTACATCAAAATTATTGATCTTCGTAATCTTCTTGGGCATGAAAAAATGCGTGTATATGAAAATCTTCGTTCTGGATGCACAGATTGAGGTCATTCCGCCCTAATGGTATTAACAAACTGAATGACTTCACCAGAATGAACGTGAATTAGACCCAATTCTTGATGATACTAAACAAGAATATTCTTTCAATATAGCGTAACTCTAAAGTTAGCCTTACCAACTCTCGAACAACCCACATAACTATGCATTGCTTACGCCTTTATTAATTATTTTTTTCCTAATAATTAGTCCTAAAACATTTCAAAATTTAAAATAGATAACAATTCATATATTGAAATATCCTTTCTATATTGAATTTCTCTTATTATTTCTTGTCAAGTATAGTTACGCCATTTTGAAAGAATGAAACAATGTACGATTTACTAAATGTCGTGATTAATTAGCGCAATTAATTCGTTCAATTATGTAAATCGCACTTCACCTGAGTTATGATCTCTCTCTCTCTCTCTCTCTCTCTCTCTCTCTCTCTTGTCTTGATGTTTCCTGTATCTTTTTATATTTAAATATTGAGCACGTTAATATTCCTAAACTGTTAGTATTTTGAAATGATGAAATTTTACAATAATTGTCGAAGACCAACTATGTTTCTTTTCTCCTCTTTTTGTCAGTAAAAATTGTAATAACAATTGATTTCCATTTTTATGTATTTACCCAATTTATTTACCAAATGGACTATAAAAACTGGAATATAAACTTAAGAAAATAAAAATTTAAATAGTCATGTATAATTGTACGTGGAAAAATTAAAACAAATAATTAATTAGTTGTTTTAACAAAATAAGAAAATAAATATATAAATAAAAATTACAACC